TTAAGAAGCAAGTCACAAAAGAATAGATACAAATGTTAACATTTTAGAAAGTTAAGAAAAAATAAAACAAAACAATATCCTCTAGGGATATGCACAAATGTAGTAATTTATGAAATAAAGAAACAATAAAACTTTCAGGGTAGCAGATAGGAAAGGAGGCACAAACACTGAATTAAGCAGCAGCAGCACACAGATACTTTAATGAACTGGTGATGTATTTACTAACTTGTGTAGTGATTTCATGAATTTTTCATGCTTCAAAGCTTATATTTGMGGGGCTGGGTGTGCAGCTCAGAGGTAAAGCGCTTACCTCGCATGTTTGAGGCACTGGGTTCAATGTTCAGCACCACATAAAAAAATAAAGATACTGTGTATTCATCTACAACTCAATAAATATTAAAAAAAAAAACTTATATTTACAAGTTATATTGTTTTAATATCTTAGAATTCAAAATGGGAAAAAAGAACTATCTGGTCAAGACTAAGCAAAAACAAACAAAAAACTTATACTTTAAGATAATTATTCACTATTCTTTACAACTATTTACACAAACCTACATTTCCTTAGTCTACACTGACCTTACCTTGGGGCCAAGATGTTTCAAACTACAATTTTTTTGGATTTTTAGAATAATACAGAATATATACTGTATATTCCCTAAAGCCCTTTGGGAATATGGGTGAGCATCCTGAAATCAAACATATTAATATTTCTCCATTGAAAGCTATTATTAGCTTCTCAAGAGGGGTGAATGGACTACAAACATTCAAGCATCAGATAGGCCAGATGTTACTATCAAATAAATATTARCAAAATTTATTTTTATGTATCAGTCTTGTGGATAAGGGACTGTGGACCTGAAAAGAGGTTCAACTTCACCTAAATAGTAAATTGCATGCATCACTTGAACTAATTCATTTTCTTTAAAGATTTCCTAATCATCAAAATACAGTTTTACAAAAAACAATCTACTCCATATGCTGCAAATGTCCATCCCTTATTTCACAAAGAAAAACATGTATAAAAACATTTTTCAGAGGCTGGGAGGTTATAGCTCAGCCATAGAGCACTTGCCTTGCACCTGTGAGGCACTGGGTTCAATTCTCAGCACCACATAAAAAATAATAAATAAATAAAATAAAGATACTGTGTCCAACTTTAAAAAAAAAAAAAAACATTTTTCATCCTCTTTTCTATTTCTTTGTTATTATATCTTCATAATATTCTCTCTACGTAGTGGGAAAAACACCACATGATCTTATTTTAATTAGAAAAAAAAACAGCATTAAGCTGAAAGAATCTAGCTACTATAATAAGAAATATTTTTATACAGTTTACAGGTATACTGATATCAATCTAATTGTTTTGTTTTCTAAGTCACTGAAAATTGCAAATAAACTTTTAACCACTTTTGTCGATACACAGTCTTAAGTAACAGTGTTCTACAGGTYGTTTTGACTATTTACTAACACCTTGAAAGAGCAAAATAAATCAAAATCCAAAAGTAAAGACTTTAGAAAGACATCTCTCCAGCATGACACAATTCTTTTTATCATCATAGGCAAGCAGTAGGAGAACCTGAGTCTGGACAAAACACAAGTATTAACCCAAAGGTTCAACTGAAAAATGTGTATCACTGAAGCCCTCCCCACCTGAAAGTAGTTCCCAAGCTGTAACCACTAAAGAGATATACTTTCTTTGGATTAATTTAAGAACCCATGTAAAGCAACTAGATTTCTGCAAAGAAACAAGATAGCTTAGTCTCTACAAAGATAGTCTTGGAATTCAGCTCTTATCTATTCTTTCTCACAGTTTTATGATGGTAAATTCAAATGACGATATCCACTCAAAATTATGTAACAAGAAACAGTTGTAAATAAAATTATTTTTTCAAAGAAAACTTAAAGCAGGCTCGGGATGTRGCTTAAGTGGTAGCGCACTCGCCTGGCATGCGTGGGGCACTGGGTTCAATCCTCAGCACCACATAAAAGAAAATAAAGATATTGGGTCCACCTAAAACTAAAAAATAAATATTAACAAACAACAGCACCACATAAAAGAAAATAAAGATATTGGGTCCACCTAAAACTAAAAAATAAATATTAACAAACAAAAAAAGAAAACTTAAAGCTATTAACTAAAAATATGCTAAATGCACATAGAAGGGAACTGCATTCAATGAGCACTACTTACTATGTAACAAGCACTGAGCACAGTATGCATTTTACAGGTCATCTTGTAACTTTTCCCCCACCTGTGGTCTGTCTTCTAGGCCTAGACTACTGCAGGCAGGATACATTTACTTCTGGCATACTCTGTCTTCTCACTTCTGTCATGTTCTGCAATAAACAATTTTCAACGGTACTTTCTGAACTCCTGAATGCGGTATTAAGTTCCATGCCTGGGTTTGTATTAGACTATTTTCCTTTAAGCTTTCTCTATTAAAGACGAAATATTTATTTTCCTAGAGCAAAACCAAAGAAATGTGATGGCAGTAAAATACTTATCAATTGTGAAATACAGTCTAGATGGAAAGTTTCAAATCTTTAAAGTGACAAGAGCCATTATTTCAGAACACAGAAGTTCTTATAATTTACAGAGTTTTGGTATGGAAAGATGAAAAGGTTGATCAACAGTGTAAATGGACTTAATGCCACTCAACTGAACACTTGAAGACATTTAAAATGCTGGGCGTAGTGGTAGCACACAGGTATAATCTCAGAGGCTCAGAGGCTGAAGCAGGAGGACTGCAAGTCAAAGCCAGCCCCAGCAACTTAGCTAGACCCTCAGCAACTCAGTGAGACCCTGTCTCAAAATAAGATATAAAAGAGATGGGAATGTGCCTCAATGGTTAAGTACTTCTGGATTCAGTCCCTGGTACCCCCCCAAAAAAAAATAAAATCATAAATTTTATGTTATGTATGTGCTGTCACAATTAAAACATTGATTTATTCTAATATTTAATAGGATGAAATGTATAATTTAATTTTTTTCCACMTTTTTTACTGTTATAGTTAGTTGTACATAATGATGGGATTTGTTGTTACATATTCATACATGCACACAATATGACAATATAATTTGGCCCTAGCACTTACATAATTTGAAATTAATTTGCTATAACTTTGAGATTTTTTTTTTCTTCCAATTTTGTCAATTGGCAACAGAAGCCCGAGGAATCTTGGTCCAAAGAGTAAGGAACAATTTTTGGCTTGGTAATATTCATTGCTCTTCAGAATCCCATTCGTATTCATACTCAGAAAGACTTAATCAATTAAAAGCAGCAGGAACAGTGCCATCAAGTCAGCAGCATCTGAAGTGCAGCCCATACCAGTAATGTGTCATTTTAGCAAACGTGTCTTAGTGGTACTGAGCACTCAATAAACGAACAGACTAAATTTACTGAGAATGTGAAATGTTTCATTTTTAAAACAGCCTTCCTTTTAGTAATTTAGAAAATACTTTAATTAAAAAATGTATATTCATATCAAACATATAAACAACTTAGTTCCAACCTCTGAATAACACTAATAATTAACATCACTAAAGACTCAAGAGATGAAAGTGTAAAAAACTTCTATCTGGGATTGAGTTTGAACCTGATGAATGCTTGAGGTTTACAGGTACTATTTTTAACTGAACTTTCTGGCCTTAGGTCAAAGTTTTGTTAGCAAAATACCAAAGCGAGAATGCTGGGAGAGAAGCCCAGAGACTGCCTCAGCTAAAGAAAGGCTAGGACCTCTAGGCAACCAATCCCACTACCAATTTAAGACTTCCAAAGACTGTCCAGAGTATCATGCTCCCCTGAGAACACAGGAACAACACACAAACTCAAAAAATCAGTAAAAAAAAAAAAAAAAAAAAAAATCAAAAATATCTGATATAACATCACTACATTCTGACAAAATATAGTACATCACTACATTCTACATAATGTACAGAAAGATACACACTCTCCAATCAGTTGCTGCATTTTGGCCAAACTGAATGGAGTCACTTTGCCAATGAGTCCAGAAACCTCAAAGGACAACTGAGGGCCTCGGAAGAAAAGTCAAAAAATCAGTGGGAAGGGAGGAGAGCWTATATACTCACTAGGAACTGAACTTCTGCGTTCTGGCCCAAAATGTCAGATTGCCCATCCTAAGGCTAGTCTTCCAGAGCTAACTTAATAGTCAGAGTTTCTTTTTCGCTTTCTTCTCCCAGAGAAGTCCACACCATCTTATCCCATAAATGCATCTCTACCGCACACTAATCCACTAACATAACAGAAATCAGAAATACACCAGCCCTCTACCATGCATTTATTTCTAAAACGTGTTCCTTAATCAAGAGCCAACTAGTAGCCTTTATATAGATATAAATTTGGATTCAAAGGCCATCTTAGGAAAGATACAATAAAGGGGCAAGATTTATTCTATTCTACAATTCAGACTGATTTTKGGGGGGGTGGGGCCTCTGAGGAAATTACATTTACATAAATTAAAATACACTAAATAGCTACTATGTTCAAAAACAACTGAAAACGGGAAAACTTCAGCTATGTGTTCCAAGATTTCCTAGTAAAAGAAGTGGGAGCAGTTCTTTGTCATGTACCCAGGCTGGTACTGCCAACAGAGAGCCAGCATCAGGTTTCCTTCTCCCTGGCTAAAACCCGAGGCCCCACGCAGCATGACACTTTCAAATCGGCTAGTCTGGGTGCAAGGGACAGCCAACCCTCCACCTTTCCTCCCCAAACCCAGTGGGTGGGCGGGAAGGAGCGGAGAGGTGTTTCCTCCCGGCACTCCAAGGAAGGGGCAGCCGGGATGACACCCGCCCCGAGGCGGTGGAAGGAGGGACCCGAGGTGGGTCCCTACTCTAGGAGCTCAGTCTGGAGCGTCTGGTCTCGGATCCCGCGGCCGGAAGCTGGGCGGGTGGGGCGAGACCTCGGCGCTCCCCACCGACGGGTGGACACAGGGGTCTGACTCCGGGGCTGGAGCGGGCAGGGCTCCCGGCCACCTACCAGCAAGCTCTCCACGTTGATAGGGGAGCGAGGGTCTCGGATCAGCGCCTCCAGCTTCCTCTGGCGGCCCGCGCCGGCCGCGTCCCCCGGCACGGCCTCGGGGGCGCCGGGCATTTTCCCCGTCGGCGGGGGCCGGCTCATGCCGCCGCCGCCCGGCCCGCAGTCCGGCTCCTCGCGCTCCGGTCCCGCCGCCTCCGGGCCTAGCGCCGCCCCCGAACCGCCGGCCCCGGGCGGGGCTCCGCCGGGCCCACCGCCCGCCTCCGGCTCCGGTGCTCCGCACCCGGCCTGGGCCCGGGCACTGCTCTCGGGGTCCGCTCAGCCCGGCCCGGCACGGCCGGGCGCGGCGAGGAGCAGACGGCGTCCCCGCCCCTCAGGCAGCCTCGCGCCGCCGGGTCCACTGGTCCGCGGCGAGCTCCCGCAGGACTCCGCGGGCGGAGCGGGGAAGTGGCGCCGCCGCCGCCGCCTGGACCGCCCCGCCCTCGGGGCCCGGGAGGCAGAAGCCCAGGCGCGGTCAGCTACGGCCGCCGACGGCCCGCGCCCATGTCGCCGCAGCCTCTCCCTCCCACGAGCCCGCTCTGCTCTCACGCACTCCCGCGCCCTGGCCCGTCCCGGCCGCGCGCAGCCGCTACCCACAAGCCCCTCCGCCCGCGGCTGCCGGCGCGCGTGCCCGCGGGCCTGCAAGCCCCGCCCCCGCGCGCGTCCGCGGCCCGCCCACACCGCCGCGCGCGCTCCCGCCGGCCGGCCGGCCGGCCCGTGCTCGCCGCCCGCTCTGCCTTTTCTTCCCTCCTGCCTGCGCGAGCGGCTTCGCTTCTCTTTTGCGCCTCCCTCCTCCGCCTTTTTGGGGGTTCTCAATGGCCGGCGCGCGGTCACCGCCGAGCCGGGGGTGGGACTGCTGTCTGGGGCTCCCCTCCAGGCGGGCCGACCCTGAGGCCTCGGTGGCGGAGCCCCCGCCCCACCGCCCTGTCCCTGTCCCTGCGCCGCCGGGAGGGGCCCATCGCGGGTCCCCGGGCCCCGCTGACTCAGCGCGCAGCTATGCGGGCCCTGCATCGCCCGCGCCAAAATAACAGCGCGCGCGGGTCGCGGCCTCGACCGCCGAGCTCGGCTCCCAGGCCGCGGGCGGGCGGGGGCGCCGCGCGCTGGAGCCCGGAATTCGGAAAGAGCGGAGGCGGCTGGAATCCGAGTCCTGGGGCGCGAGGGCCGGGAAGAGTTGCTTCCGCCCCCGGGGCAGAAAGCCTGGGCTCGCGGAGCCTTCCCGCACCTCCCTGACGGCCGGGCTTCGCCAGCCACGTCGAGAGAACGGGAGAGCGACTGCAAAACACTTTCCACCCGCGGCCTTTTTTGCGGGGAGGCGAGAGAGGGGAGGCTATAGGGACCGCTCCTGCGCATTCCTGGCGGCTCGCGGCCGGTGCCATTGGTCCACTCTCCCAGGGCGCAATCTGAACAATATGTGCCAACAGCTATAAAACTGTTCATAGAGCCCCTTTGACCCAGTAAACCCATTTAAGGAAGTACATTTCTAAGGAAATGACCCAAAGGGGGAAGTGGGGGAGCGCTTGCATAAAATGTTTACAGCAGGGTTATTCAGAACGTTCGTAATGACCAAGACCTGGGAAGGGACCCAACTGTCCAGCGACTGAATGATCCAATCAAGCTCTGTCACATTAACAGAAAGAATCCTGGCAGGTATGCAGACTGTGAGGAACCTGTGAAATTTTTGGCACGTGCATGAAAATGTGTACTGGGAAATAAAATTTTAAAATGCAAAATAAATTGTGCACGCTAATTAAAACTACATGAAATAAGCAGCTGTGAGAAAGGGAAGAGAATACGATTGTATTTAAGTAAGATTTTTTTCTGTGAAGATGTTTAAGAGCGTATTAAAACTTCAGAAATTTAAAAACTATACTTACGTGGGCCACTCCCCCAAAAAAGCTGCAACCTGATATCCATAAGTAGTAAGAATCTTAAGAACCTTCTCACTAGCAGGTCAAAGATAAGTCCACAGATGGACTAAACCCTGCTCATGTTAAGCAATCTTTTAATCAGCAAGTGGTTTCTGGAACTGCCCTCCTTTTGGAGTGGAGCCACTCTTACTTGGGTTAATGCAGGAAAAGGCCCCAGATGATCCAATACTGCTTTTTCATCTCAGATAATCTCATATTGACTATAAGTTAAAAGGTAAGACTTCTAAGTCTGTAAGTTGAGTTATTTATATCTTCAGAGATCCCACCACAAAGACAGAGTGAGCTAGACACTCCCCCTACTTATGCATTGAAGCAAAATAATTAGATAATTACAACTATGGATTCTTTTTCCTGGTAACAATAATATGCAAGGCAGAAAGAACACTATGTGATTCTCAGGTTACAAATTAATTTTGCAATGATCAGCTATATATTTTTATTGGGCTTGATTGGGAAGCTGTGGTCCCAAGCATTACACATGGAACTTCATTTTAAAAGAGGAGTAGTGATCAACATATTACATATACTGGGAAACTTCTATGTATGGCCATTTATATAGACTAAGAAAAAGTCATAAAGACATAAAAGATATTTACCCATTTACACCATTGTGTCTACCTGGAAGAAGAAAAAACTAATCTCTTGGTTTGAGTGAAAACATTCTCTCTCTCTCCTTCTCCCCACCCACTTCCTTCTTCTGGCTATCTAGTATGACAATTCCTGTCTTATAAAAAGAATACACAAATAGGATATGGTGGCACATGACTGAAATCCCAGAGACTCAGGAGGCTGATGTAGGAGGATCAAACTTTCAAGGCCAGCAGCAAGCCTCAGCAACTTGGCCAAACCTTGAACAATTTTACAAGACCCTGTCTCAAAATAAAAAGGGCCAAGGATGTAGCTCAGTGGTAAAGTGCCACTGGGTTCAATCCTCGGTATCAAAAAAGAAAAAGAAAAGAAAGAATATTTACTTGTAAAAGTTCAAATAAACCAGAAATGTATAGAATATAACCTGAAAAATTGTACTTCCAACTCTTCTTCCACATACATTATTTTATCATTCAAGGTCTTTATTCTCAAATATATATATTTGCTTATACATACATGTATACCAATAGTATTTTGCAGCCTAAATTTTTCCCCTCAATTATTGTTTCCTAGAGATATGTTCACATTGGTAGACAAATCTTTCTCATTGTCTTTAATTGCTTCGCTGGATCCTGTGGTAAATAGAGCTTTACCAATATTGTGTTTACTCTCTATTCAGGAGCATAGTGGTTGAGGAAAGACTAGAGAAGATTGCCTGGGTTAAAATCTTGCTGCTACTACACACTAGCTGTTTGATCCTGAGCAAATTATCTAATTCTCTCTGTGTCTCAGTATTCTTCTGTTTAAATGAGCGCCTGCCCTTTATAGTGTTTTATGTTGCCCTTGACATCCTTCTATTTTTGCTTTCATGTGGAGATATTTGGACAGTATAGATTCCTGAAAGTGAATTGTAACAAGGGGTAGGCATACTTTAAATGTTACAGATACAGCAAAATTCCTTTTAAAAAGCATACCCATTTTCATTGTTGCCATCCATGAAAGGAACTGCCCACTTCCCTTTACGTTTTGTGGGCAAAAAAAATGACATCTTGTTTTAACTTGCATCCCATTAATTACAACTGCAGATGGACATTTTGCGTATCTATTTCTGCTGAAATTATTTGTATTTTTTGTTCATTGGCTTTTTCATCTTTTTTGGTGAATGATAGGAGCTCCTTATGCATTAGAGATGTTCTTCCCTGTTATAATATAATGTTAAAACATTAAAATTTATGAATACTTTCTTCCACTCCTTTGCTAGTAATTCAGTTTTGGGGTTTTGTTTGTTTGTTTGTTTGTTTTTGTTTTGTTTGGTACCTGGGATTGGGGGCACTTAACCATTGAGCAACATCCCCATCCCTTTTTGGTATTTTATTTAGAGACAGGGTCTCACTGAGTTGCTTAAGGCCTCGATAAATTGCTGAGGCTGGTTTGAACTTGAGATCCTCCTGCCTGTAAACCCCAAGGATTACAGACATGCACCACCACACCCAACTGAGTTTGGTATCTTTCGTTATACAAATATTTTTTTACCTTTCATACAGTCAAATCAGTCAATATTTTCTGTACAATTTTTGGGGGTTTGTGTCTGGGCTAGAAAGGATTTAAAACCCAGTTTTAGGTCACACAGATTGGAAGTGCAGCAGGTTGTAAGGAATTGGCAGTTTCCTACAGATATCAGCCCAGCTCCTCCCAGATTAGCCTTAGGAAGGGTCTCCTGGTGCTTGTTCTTCTCTGGGGAATCTACTGCTCCGGTTCCTGCTTCTCCCTGGCTTTGTTCTGCCTGGCTGCTCCTTTTTTAGCACTGTTCCTGATGAGTTCTGAGTGCAGTCTAGTCATRTAAGAGTGGCACAAAACTTTTGTTCAATGCTAAGGAGGACAATGGGGAAATAAACACAGAAAATACATTTAATCAGCCTGGCCTACAAGGGACAAGAATTTTGATTCTATTATAACTATCTTATTCCCAAGACTTAAAAGCTCCACCCCATTTCCTTTAAATTGTGTCTGTGTCTCTTTTATCTGACTCCACATTCCCAGCCATTTCTAAGTGATAGGTRTCAATTTAACATCTACTACCAAGCAATACCTCCCTGGCTCTCCTGACACTTCATGGTCCAAACTAAGAGACCAGGGCTTCCTGCTCTCTAGGTGAGGGCCATGTCCTCAGTTCCAGTTTTTAATTTAAGGAATCCATCTTTTCCCCAGGAATAGTTCACCCTTCAGATGCAACTTTGCCCTCTCTATTTATAGAGGGCTTTTTTTTTTTTTTTTTTTTTTTTTTTGTCTTTCAATGAGCTCTTCTGAGGACTTATTTAATGATACCATGTGCTAGGCAGTATGCTTTATAGAAATTATCTTAATTCTCCAAATATTACCTTTGACAATGGTAATATTACGCTATGTCCATCTTTCAGGTGATGTAATAGGGACTCAGATACCTGTTGACAGAATGAATTAATGAATGGCTGGATGACTGGATGGATGAGATCTATGGACAGTGATGGTCGGGGCACCACCAATAAAACACAGAAGAGCACAAGCTTGAGTTGTTGTGAGATAATTTCCCCCACAGGAGCCAGATTTAATAACAGAATAAAGGAATGGCCTCTCCATGCAAAGGTGTCATTATTTTTG